GTGAACCTAAGATCTCAACCATGACATTTAATAAATCCAAGTGACCGACTTCGCTATAAAATGTAGTTTTGTTTCTAATAGCAGAGTTGCAACATCATTTATACGATGTGAAATGGTATGAATTTTAATTTCAGATATATGGATTTTAGTACTCAAAAAAACCAAAACATTGAGCTAGTTTAAATCTCATTAGGTCACAAATTCATAAGAACTGATTTAACATTTCGAATACCAGACAATATTTATTGCATTATTTAATTACTAAAATGAATAGTTGTAGTGAATAAATTTGACATACAAAAAAACGAATGAACAGGTATATAATGAGAAGAAAAACTCACAGATTCTTTTCAGTTTCAGTCACATCTACATGATTCACTTTTCTCACATTTTACTATCTGCTTGGCCAATTAAACTGTTTCTATGGCTAGAAAAAGAGCATTTCGTAAACTTATGTTTGTCAAATAAGAAAAAATGGGAACAAGTAGCCAGACGGATAAAAATAAAATTTTCAAAGTAATTAGTTATTCTTTCAACACGGTTACCGATAGTTATGTGTTCTTTTCCTGTTTGTTTTTGATTATTTTACAAACGCATAACAAATTAGATGTGTACATTTTAATCAGTGATTACCTTCAGGGCATAAATAAATTGTTACAGATGTCTTAGAAAATGAAAGCAGCATAGAAGAAGAAATGGAATATACAATTTGAAGTTAAATAATAAGGAATTTCCGTTGAATTATGTTATAACTCAAAGGGGCCGCCGATTAGAGGACTTATCGATCGGATCAAGGGATTCAGAATCTCGATTGGCTATTCTGGTCCGTTGTCACCGACTCAGCTAACGAGATCAAGAAGTCTTGGTAAGGCATAGAAAGTGTAATCTACAGGCAACCAGCAGATACCAGGTCAGATCAGGTCAATCAGGCATACAAGCCAAGCGTATTTATACAAATATTTGCAATCGATATTGTCATAGTAAAATGTTTGTAAACATTAATCAGTAAGTTCATCAATCGACAGCCATTCAAATATTTAATCGATAAGTTCATCAATTGACTGTCATTCAAATACTTAAACATTTAGTCGATAAGTTAACCGATAAGATGAAATTACAAAATATGAGTTTTGGGGATCTATCGTCTCCAACAAATTCAAGGGTAATTTGTATTATAAATCAATATGTTTATCAGTTATTAAAAACCAGAAGCAATACAACAAACGCCTCATTTCCTTTGTGGAATTCATCGTGGTTGAGTATTTCCGATCGCTAAGATGTATAAACATGCTAATTTAAAAACGAAAGAGTGAAGACACTGGATAACAATCATGTTTAAGGTAGAGAGGTTTAATTAGATCATTCAATCTGAATATAATCCGCTATATACTTTTATAGACTGGAAAAAGATATTCACTGTTCTCTAAAAATCGACAGTTTTCCAGCTGACGTTTTTTTTACGGAGAGAACAAGCTCTGTTTTTACTTCGACTTGCTTTTCAGTTACTTTCAAACTGAATGGTGTTTGTTACTATAACTATTTACAAATAATTCATATAAATAAAGTTATTAAATTCTAACTTATGAATTACTGGCTACCTTTTGACTGAACACCTTATTTCTAAGTTTGTAAAATATAAAGTTTAAAAAAAACTTATCAAACAAAGAATAAGAACAACACTTGTTACTCTGTTATGTTGCAATTACCGAAGATATTTTCAAATTCATACACCGGATGCATAATTAATTAAGGTTATGTTAAAACAGATGTCCGGCATAACTTTTGTCAGGTTAAGTGTAATATTGATCACTCGAAAGGGATTATAAAATATTGAAGTGTATATCTTTTATTATATGTGACAAAATTTTTATACCATACCTCAACGAAAACAGATCCATAAATTAAATGACAAAATGAAACCTGGTAATTATCACTTTCTTTCTCATAAGGTCATCAGTAACTTCAGCTGTTATTTTTTCGTATTTTAAGAATCAATTAAATTTAATTATAGTTCATAAATTAAAGGCGTAAAAAGATTTAATTTGAATCCCAGGAATACAGTATTCCCCAGGATAAAGATGATCACCTTATAAATTAACTATTAAATTAAGGGAGAACATTCATTATGAAGTGCTCAGTTACCATCAGTTGGTGATATTTTGACTTGACCTGGAATTAGTATTAAAAGGATGACGTCATGTGCACTCACCAGTAATACAAATATCATGAAACATTAAAAATGTATTTAATTGAAATTGTCAAACATATCTGTTAAGTTGATCGATGTTCATTTGTAAAGAATGTTGAAACTGTACCAGTTGTTTGAATATTGTAAACGTCAGTATCTTTCTCCTATGAAGTTAGTATAAAGTAAATTGTACTGGAATCCAGTATGTCTAGTCTTGGAAATATTATACAGCTCCCAATAAAACAGTTTTCCTGGCTCAATCAGTCCTGTAAACAACATAAAAATTCACATCATATTTATTTAATTACGAAACCAATATTGGTAGTGTAACACTAAGTTAGAAACCTTCGCACTACTTATGAAGTATATGCACAAAACGATGTGATTATTTCTATAAATTATAAATTAGTCTATGACAAGAACTTTCCATCCATTGACCGTTAGTTCACGAAAAACAATTTGTCATTTATAGGAATAAACAGTACGATAAGTGTTTCCCTCTAGATAAGCAAATCATAAAAAGGATTATTAATTTAATCAACTGTTTGTAGTCAGTTAAATGGGATTTGGATAACTCTCTCTGTTTTGGAGTCCAAATTTTATCAAGTTAAAGATGAGTAAGACTTGAGAATACTTTTAAGCACATTTTATACTCACTATTTGGTTCATAAATAGATGAGAATATGATGAAAGATTTTTAAAGTTTATGTCGTTCTCATTAATTTTCATTTTCAAACTATGCGTTCATTGTGTATAACTGGAAGAGAAATATAAGACTGATAATACTGAATGCTAAAAACTACTGTGAATTAGCTACTAAATGTACACTGCATCTTTAAACATTATTTAAGAAATAAAAAAGTCATAACGTATAAAATTTAAAGTATTTTTTTAAAAACTGTTGTAAATTTCTGTTAAACAAATAGAAAAACTTCAGTATCTTAAAAGTGCTCATTTAATGGCTTTTTCTTAGCCCTGAATCACTAGACAACATTACCTATTACATATTCTAACAATGATAAGCTTACAGAAAAGAGCTTAAGTAGAGTTCAGCTTTCACAGTAGTCATTTTACAAAAGACAAAATGTGTTTATTCAGCAAGCTATAAGTATAATTGTAATGCAAGAATCTGTTCATCATTTTACTTAAAAAGATCTACAGATTTATCAAATAAGTTAGTTTATAGGTGCAGTAAAGATGCATGTTTAAATATAAACAAAATATTCAAAGATAAATAATCTCAAGGAGTTAGTTAAACTATGTTTTTCTCTCTAACGAGATTTAGAAACGTTTTCTATGACCCTCTTGAAGAAGTTAAATTTGTGGTGCACATTGATGAATACAAAGTTTATAAAGTTAATTATCCTTTGCAATTGCCATAGTCAATTATTATAATCAGATCCAGGAATAATAACAAAATTTATGTTCTTTTATGGAGTATTCTATTCATTTCTTGAACGATTTAAGAATGCACTATATTATTTTACATAAAAATATTAATCTTTACTAATAACCACAATGGATTGATACAAGACTATTTAGTAGAGTTATGTGAAATACAGTGTTAAGTTTTATTTAAGTCAACTTTCATAAGAACAAACCTTTTTACATAGCTAAACAGATAAATTATAAAGACATGAAATATGTTAAACATATAAAAATGTCAAGTATCTAATGCTTATAATTCCTTATTTGTACTTAAAGAAGCATCCTATATACAATATCAAGTTTTTATTTGTCATAATTAGTCGTTCAAATAATATACAAGCCCAATTATTTAAAAATTTTAACCGTAACAAATAAACATAACTATTCAATTCCATTGATATATTGCCGATAACAAATTGACTTGAATATTTTCTTTACACAATATATTATCATTTAAGAATAAATTCATAACTATTCATAGTTAGTTTTTATATTCAAATTTCAATATGATTTACTTATTTAAATGGAAAACAATTAACTAGTATGAATAATTGAAGTAAACAAACATTGTAGTGATTTACTGCAATATTTCAAATAATAATAATAACTTCAGCGATTTACATAATCACATATTTCATTCAGTTTAGACTGAACTCGAATTGAAACAGAGTAATAATTACCTTTGTTTTACATATGAACAAGCATATATATATATATATATATATATATATATATATATATATAGATAGATAGATAGATAGGTAGATAGATATATCTTATCTGCATTTATATAATGCTTCTTATAAGTAGTTCATTTATTTTAAATGAAATAAATTTATTTTTATTTGATTAGTAGATTCTATGTTGTTACAAGTGAGTTAGATAAACATGTTACTGTTTTTATTGTGAAAAACTTTTGTTATTATTATAATAAATTGAGTCTATCAATAAAAGTTGTTGTATATTAGTCTACTTAACAAAACAACAGATTGTTAGAATTAGAAAAAAATATATACGTTTTTTATTGTTTCAATAAAAAGATGATGTGTATTGACTCAAAGGTAGTTTGTTATATTTACCCATGACCACTAAATAAAGAGTAATGATTAATAAATGGATTGGTTATATACAGAATCTTATTATAAATTCATTACATGTTTCCTCATGTTTTCGAATATCAATGAAATACTTGATTAAATATTGCAAAAACTTAAGAACAGAATCACTGAATAGTTAAGCGTTTCTTTATTCTTATTAAAGTTGTAATGTACTTGTTGAATATCACATTTTTTTATATTTCAGTATTTAATTGTGCTTAACGTTGACTATTTAAAATAAACTGATAGTTATTATTATTAATGGCCTTATTCAGTATTATATTTTGGTACAATATAGAATTCTCAGCACAGGGTATTTCAACAAGTTACTTACGCAAAAAACAGAAACAAAGACAAAAAAGGAAAAAATATTTAAAAAAAATCTGAAAAACTGTACAAATTTTCAAATTAGAGACATGTTAAGAATGCAGGTTATTGACTAGGTTAACTCTAACAACCTGTTCGTCACAGAGTATATTTGCTAGGTAAGGTATTATAGAACTTTTATACTTTTGCTTGCGTGCATGGATTTTAATGTAATTACGTCTCGTTCTACCAGAAGATATACAAGGAGAAAGATAAGAGTGAAGGGGATGGCTAGTATCTGATAAAATAACACCTGCCAGGAGTTTGCATGATTTTAAATGTCTATCCACAACCATATTAATTATGACCTCGAAAGATTCACCACACACCTTGCTAACTGCCTTCAGCACTCTCCGCAATACAGCAAAGTCTTTTCTCAAAAGCCCGGGAAAGAATAATGGAGAACAGTAAAGAATAATAGGTAATATGCAAGAATTGACAAATTGTAAGAGTAAATGACGAGTAATTCCAAGAGCATGCAATCTCTTTATGTAGTAGGTCAGACGGAAAACCTTCTTCGATAACAATAAAACGTGGGAAGACCAAGACAGATCAGAGGAAAAGGTGACACCAAGATAATTGACCTTCGACACTGAGTTTATCAAAGAGTCTCCGATGGTACAAGCACTATGGGATCTCAAAATAGTGTTTAGATTCCGTTCATGTCTCATGCTAAAGTTAACAGCTTGACATTTAGACGGATTAAGTATGAGACCATTACCAACAGACCAACAATCAATACGAGACATAAACTCATTCATTTCTATGGGATGTAAAGAGGAAGAGATAGGCATACATACAGTGAGATCATCCGCATACTTCACAAAAGTGTTTTCTGTGGAAGATGGCAGATCATGCAGAAAAAAAGGAAAAGAAGAGGTGAAAGAACAGCTCCTTGTGGTACACCTTCATGAGACAGTAGAGACTCTGAACACTTTCCTCCAAACACAGTGTACTGTTCCCTTCCAGAGAGGTAGGAACATAGCCAGTTGGTTATCCAGCTGTCAGTGTTGACGCTGATTAACTTGTTAAGTAAACGTTGTCTTGGTATAGAGTCAAAAGCTGAAGTATAGTCCAGAAAAGCACATCGAACATACTTCTTACCCTTTTCTAAGTTGAACACTATGTTGTGATGCAGAACTGCAACAGCATCTAAAGTGCTTCTTTTGCGCCTGTATGCAAACTGGTATGGGTCAGTATGCTCTTTTATCGCAGGCTGAAGTGGAAGTATTAATAATTTTTCCATGGTTTTGAGGAAGGGTGAAGTTATTGCAATAGGTCTAAATTTTACATTCTTATCACCAAATGCTTTCTTGGGTACAGGAATTATCTTCATCTTTCTCCACATTTTCGGTATGAGATTAGATGAGAAGGATCTGTTAAATATAGTTGTGAACGGATGACACAGAACGTCAGCACATTTTTAAAAAGGATGTTTGGGATACCATCAGGTCCCAAACATCGAGATGAATTAAGCGACTGGAGACATCCTCGTACATCAGTTTCAGTGAAAGTAGGAACACAGCTATTTTTTAAACCCGTGGATAGAGGGAGCATCACATCAGATGACTGACGTACAAAAGACTTATTTAAGTCACAAACATTCAGCTGGTTATCGCTTCTAAACTTTCTGTCACCTGTAAGTTCTTTAAAGAATTTCCACATACTTGGAGAGTTTTTGCAAGATAAGAGTTTTTGAGTAAACATACAGTTGAGACGTCTAATCTCTAGGTTTATCAGACCATTTAGCTTACGAACTTCATTAGAGTTCTCCTTGTACATTCTTTCTTTCATCCTCCGTAGTCGTTTTAGTTGTGAAGATGTAAGTCGATCAAAACTTACAAAAATGGTTTCAGTGGGACAACAAATATCAAAACAGAATTTAAGGTAACAAGTGATAACATCAGTAGTGTTTTCGAGTGAGTCATCTGTAAATAATTCCCAGTTAGTCGTATGAAACATGTTTTTCAGATTTCGGATATTTTCTTCTGAGTAATTCCTATATTTGACTTTCTTGGTTTGATATAGGAGTGTACTCTTCCCATGTTTCCCATATACTTTAGGTAGAACACGAATTATACAGTGATCCGAGCTAGACAATGGAGCACGTTTACGAGTCGCATATATACCCACATCATTAATGAAAACGAAGTCTAAATGAGAATCCAAACGAATAGGAAAATCTACTACATTTTGGTGACCTAGTGACGTAAGGAAGCTACAGTCACATGAATTGAAATCACCACATACAACTGAAAGTGAATCACTGAAGCCAGTAACAGCGAACTCAGTGAATTCATCAGCGAAAACAGATAGTGCAGATGATGTGCAATCTGGGGTCACGTAGATATTGGTAATATAAACATATTTGTATTTATTCAGATGTTTTGGACGACATCTTAGAGTTAGACAGTCGATAAAGTCATTTGAAAACTTAAAACACACAAACGAAGATCGACACCAGTTTATGTTTACAAACGTAGCTACACCGCCACCACACCTCTTTTTATTGTTCGATCGATCCTGACGATAAATTTTGAAATCACGTAGTGATACTAGGCAGTCATCCTGTAAATCATTTAACCAAGATTCTTGAATTGTGATGACACCACAATTACGATACATATTTTGACTTAGTAGGAATTGCAGATAGTCCACTTTGTTGATTAGTGATCGACAGTTAGAATTTAGCAGCTCGGGAATTGACATACGATTAATGTTCATTCTCTTTAACGCATATTGCCAACCACCACGATGTCTTTTATAGTGCTTTTTCGTAACTTGTGCAGCGGACGGTCGTAGGCTTTTCATAAAAGCACCTGTATAGGTTATGCCATTAATGGACATAATGAGACGTTAAAACAAAATGAAAAGACCCAGATAACTTGTTGAAATAATTAGATGGCAGAAACAGGTAGCCCAGATATTCAAGCAGGCCGCCTTTTGATATAGTTGATATAGTTTTTGGCGGTACTCATTCGAGTACATCACTTTAGCTATTCTGATAATAAACTGACAAATAAACAAGTATGACGACTAATGACCGAAGAAAAATTTTTGAAAGTAGGACAACATCAATGATCATTTGAAAAATTTTCATTCATAGTATTACACTATCAACTATCATTACATACTACTTAAAATACAATGTCTGAATAATAAACAGCTCTTGTAAATAAAATTTACTTTAAATAAATTAAGAGATCTATATTACAGTATTTAATTAGGGTTTTTAAAAATGATAATATCTATTCCATTTATCGATATTAAAAAACAACAACTGGTTTTAAATGAATTTTTCCAGAAATAAGTTGATTAACCCCTTTAGAAAATTTCATTCACTACTATTCAATCAGTCTTATTAGTTAAAACTATACACTTAATCTGATTAACATTACATCATAATTATACTACTTTTTAAAATTTATGGACTAGTTTCATATTAAAATTAAAACACGAAGTTCAGCGAAGGAATCTCTTTTCAACGAATTTATTATCAAGCTGTACAATCGTACATATTATCAGATATGTAAAAGCAGACTTTCTATTTCGAATCGCTAAACATTACAGAAAGAAAGTTTTGATATAAACTTTTGTCTAATCATTCTTGATTGCTTTAAAGTACGATTTAATAAACTGTCTGTTATTAGTTCTTTTCAATTCTAAAAGTTAATTTAATAAATCAAAACAATCAGAATTTATTAACAAAATTAATTAATAGTTTGGACGTCTCAAAAATATTGTTGATTTGATGATGATAACTGAATCCCAGATTACATAGAATATTATTCGACGTTTATCGGATTTAAATTAAAAAAAAAGTAATGTACTGCTTCTCAATGCAACTCGAAAATAACACTAATTTAATCAAATCTATTAAATAAGCTAACAAATGATATTTCTATGGATTAATTTCATAGTATCTTAGTAAATGTCAGTTATTTAGTGAATGACTCTGAATTTAAAAACTGTGGAAATTAGTCTTATTTTTAATGGAAACAATGACAATTCACAAATAGAAAGAAATGTGACTTTTAGATGTCACTGACGTTCAGTGAGCTTATCGGTTCAATTTTTCTGACTTTTTAAGTGGCAATAAAAGTTGAACTGCATTTATCTTTGTTTTAATACTTAAGTAAAAGACTACACTTTCAAGTATGAAGTATATGGACAAATAAAGGAATTTTGAAATTCATTTCTTTACTGTGAAAGCTTCTGTCAATAATTTACAATGATAAGCTAAAACCAAACTCAGCATACCCCTGTCTTATTGTAATAGAATTAGATACTGGTTAGTTGTTGCAAGAAAATACTTTTATTTTCTTTAAACCTTAAAATAATGACTATCAAAATCGATGGAATGAATTGTTGTGAGTTATTATCTACTGTGTTGGAATGAAGAACTTAGGATTGAATTACATTCCAAAATCAATTTTCCTCTAATTTCAACATGAAAAACGTCTACGTTACAAAATCACAAAATTTTATATAATATTCAGCAGAAAATCAAGGAAAGTGATCTTAGACAGGTAATTTTAGTAGTTTCCATTAGACTACTTTAAAGTAGTATCATCATATAATGACTATTTCAAAAAGGATCATCATCACGTCAAGTCCAAGTACATAATCATTTATTTTCTAAAAATATTTTCATAATATTGTAAAGCTGAATATTTAAGAGGGTACGCAGTCTTAGTTTGAAGAGAATCATCCATTGTATATTGCAACGATATAGAATTTATTTTTACTGCAGAGTAAAAATGGCTGTTTAAAATAAATAGATCAGTAGGCATTCGACAATGATGCCAACCTACTTAATTATAACGGACAAAACTAGATGAAAAGAGTCGATCAACCTTGGTGCCTACCTTCCAGGAAAAACCAGGGGGGAAGTTTCTAAACCAGATATGGAAATGGTTAGTAAACATCTGATTTGTAGATAATGTTTTACCTTTATTCAGAATTTCCATAGTTTAGGTTAATTTTTATATTTAAAATTATTGATTGCAAACTATTGTTTATGTCAACAATAAGTATCCTTTTATACCATTTCCAAGTTATATAGGTTACTTTTCACAAAATACACGCGCTGCGTATATCACACTTCATCTCTCAATTCGGTGCCACACCAACAAGTCCGTCATATACCTGCACATAAATTTCTAGTTATGCCTCTCGACTGAGTAGTAGTAACCGCTGTATAACATAGAAATATATTGTATGTAAATAATTGACTTATTTTTATGGCTTATAATTTGATAATCTTTAATGTAATTAAAAACTTGCATTTCAGTCCACCAAACATCTACCTATCATGGATATTTATGTAGATCAAAATTTTGACAGTTATTTCCTCTCTCCATTAATTACTTTGGTTACTAACATCTAGCTTAAGTCTTTTACTTAACATTCTCAGTGTGGGCTAAGGTGGCTTCATAGTTTCTATCAGATAAATAACATTTCTTACGAACGTTTCTGCTGCTTCCTAACAAATACTACTCACTTAGTCAAGTTAATATGCAGAACTTTGAAGTATTTTGCTCTATTCAGTATAAATAAAATAATCAGTTTGTTTTCTGACGAGTCTTAACACGAATACATCACACTGTCCATAATACTCATTAACAAGTCTTTTTCTTGCTACCTAACTAGTGAGCAACTCAGCTTGGAACACTAGCAGTATAGTTCTCAGACAAAAGTAGTCAAAAACTTTCAAGTCAGAATCACCTTTCAACCACACATACACTGAACGTATGATAGAATCGATGAGAACAAACACCACTTGAAACCTGATAAGTTACGTTTGTACTCGATAATGCGTAGTTGGATTTTAAGAAATTCTCGGTTAGTAAAACTTGTACGGTTTCATGTTTTTACATCCGCTTGTTGAGTTCTTAGAAGTTATTAAATTGAAGTACCTGAAGTTTCTTACTATCTCGATTTTATCTATTCCATTATGGACACTTCTTACTCTCTTGGTTGAATAGCAATAATTACGCAATTAACAATATCGATTAGGTTTATTTCTTTATTTGTCAATACGCTGATTATTCTATGTTTTGTTTATTTGGCAAACAACTTTTGACTAATTTACTGTACTGTTAAAGACTGACTAATCGTGTCTAAATATTTTTCTCGTTGAAACAATTCTTCATTTCAAGTGAACTGTCATTTTCCCTATCAGGTATATAGGTTTGAAAGCTCTTCATATAATTAGTAAAACTACACCATATATAGTGGTTTTAAAACATGAAGTGAGGCATGAAATTACTTTTTTCTTCATGAATTATGTTAAAGTGTTTGCTAACCACTACTATTGTAATTATTCTTGGCAATATGCTTTGCGTCGTAGAACTTTTCCAATAGACACAAAGATATGTATTGTGGCGGAATACATTAGTAATTCTGGTCGTTACATAAAATAGCACTCTCATCTAATTTTAGATTCTAATGATCTACAACTTTGGTCAATATTAAGCTCTATTCATGAATTATTAATGGATATTGAGTTGGGTGAATCAAATATGGTACATAGCTATGAAAATTCAATAATTATCTTATTTTCCGAGGATGATGCACAACTTTTCCGAGTATTGGACCTATGGATACAGATTGAGGACCATATCAAATCTACAGAGTAAGATTAGTGTTTTTTTTAATTCTCCAGGTTTTTTTTATCAAATTACATTTGATGCGTATATGACATGACCACAGAATGGACTGTCGTAGTGGTGTAACTAACTAAAAACTAATTCGTGATGTTATCGACACATCTTTTTCAGGAACTACATTTAATCGCTCTGGACCGTAGCTCAGTAGTTTGTACACTCAACTGACTGGCACTGGATAACGGATTAGAACCCATGTTCGTGTACTCGTGTTGTATCATTTCCACATATATGGCTCTCAGCTTATTGTATGAAACTTCACTAGGTTCGTCCCTAGTTACCCTTTACTCAACCATACAGCATAGTAACGTATAGTTGACGGAATTGCTTAAGTCTGTCGTCTATGTAAATGGCTCCACATGAACCGTCAAACGAATAAATGCAATCAGATATAACGAATTCAGAAGGTTTTTCTTTGTTCCAGGACCATTTTAAAATACAATATTTTACTTGGCTGCAGTTAACGACTTATTTAATGTCTGTATCAACGGTTGTGCTATCATGTCACAAGCAACATCTTTTTTGAACTGTGGTTTCAAAATTAATGACTTCTTTGGGACAGCCATTGTAGTCGGTCTTACTTGTATCTAGTTAATGTGTTTGTCGATGAATTTGGTAGAATATCTATTACTGCTAAGTAGGTTACGGATACTTCTTAATTCTTCTTCACTGGTGTCAGAGCAAATCAATTTAGTACAATGAGTCAAGATATTTATTAAGTTTCATTTGTACTTAAGTGATGCAGAACTGTAGAAATGGGTATATTGTTCACTTGACATATTTATAATGTTCTATCGAATCTTCTTGTCGATAGGATTTAGAAAAAGTGAGATTCTATTATTTGGCTCTTCGCCTAAAAAGAACTTAATTTGTGGAAAAATATTGTCAACCATGTTAAACTAATTACCTTTTTCGACTTCGTTTTTTACCAATATAAAAGCATCATCAATATAGAAACAGTAAAGTGTTAGCAGTTTATTCACGTCCATAAGGAGTTCATTCTACAATTTTGCAAGAACCACTCCTCATATTTGTACCATCTGATTGTCTATAATATTCGCCGTTGTATTGGAAATGAGTGTTTATTGTATACCGAAGAATTAACTGCTTTATTATGCAGTTAATCATCTGACATTATTGCCAGAATGTATGATTGTTGAACCAATGATGGATAACTAATCTAAACTAAATATTTATTCTTTCTATTTACTCTTTCCCTTTTCCTCACTTTATGCTCGCTGTTATATTCTATCTACAATATTTAGCCTTTTAAATTTTCTCTTAACAACTACGATCTTGAAGTTCTGTTGAAAAGAGTTTAGTAGTTTTAATTACCGTTAGGTATGAAGGAGAGTTAATAAGTTCAACATATTGTTTGTGCAAAATTGTTGTGATAACTCAGGCTGACCAGATAATCTAGTCTGAATAAAATCATATATTGGCGAGTGGAAGAAAATATCCAAATTGTTTTATAATATTTACTGATCGTATATCAAAACATATCGTGTTGCTTGTTTCGTTTTTGACTGATATGTTTATAATATAATAATCAATAAGTTTTGTAAGAAATGTGATCGTTGTTACATAATGTATAAATAGAGTAGTCAGGAGGTAAATGTGTTTACTTTAGATATTCATTGCACTGAAATTACTTATTCATCGAGAATGCACAGATAAAACTTCACAATATTATTTTGCTTGTCTCCATGGTAAGTGTAATATATAATATATCGCCATTTAAAAAATAACTACAATAAAAACATTAAATCTTGCTATTCTGAAAGTTCAATTTCATTCTTTTTATCCTTCTTTCCATTTCTTAGGTTATATCAGCAAACGACTCTCCATGCTGTTCCCAATGCCCATTGGTTGTTTGCTTATTTGGCGAAATCTGTCGGCTTTTCGTCTTATTTATTCATTGACTGGTTGGTATCTCCTGAAACTACCTGTTTATCTTACTTAGTTCACTACTTGAGAAGATTGAGCACTGATGATGAGCTTATTTGCAATCCAAATCAGTTCGTTAGAAGTGCAGTAATAATACATTCTTGGCCATTACAATCGCTTATAAACATGTTAAGTCAAATTTCGAAAAGTCTCAAAACCTTGAATCAATACAAAGGCATCGCATTTTGCCCTACGCCGCTTATCAATCGCATTAATCGTTCTTTGTCTGTTTTGAATAACTTATGCCATGTTATGACACAATGTTAACTTACTACAAATATTACGCATAAATCTTATGCATAAAGCCTTCTAATGACTTATTACTACCCTTTCATTTGGTTCTGTAGCCTGATGAATTCAGTTAGGGTGTTACAATTGAGATATTCGGGCCCCAAATAATATCCTATAGAATAGAGGTAGATGCATTATTTGGTCGCTAAATGGTTATGAAACAGAACGAACAGTGTTAACGAACCATACAGTTGAGCTGTTTATTATTGGAGGCTTTCAAATGTAGCTACTGAATTTTTGCATCACATCTTCACTAGGACATTGGACAGGAGAAATCCTACTAAGCGCTAGATACAAACTGAATCTCATAAACTTGTCATCTGTAGGCGTTAGAAGAATTAGTACTGGCATCTTGAAGTTCTTGGTTGCATATCTTTTTAAAATGAATTATTAGTTTTAAAAACTCAAATTCATTTGTGAGTTTTAATTATTAAATCTACCATCTGCAACACAGCTTTTATTCCGTCGTGAATAGCCCTGATATTACATTCCCAAAAGTTAGTTTGTGTTTAAGACTTAAGAAGCACTCTCGGTTTTCATGTTTAGACCGAGAACTAGTCATATCATTCTTCCTTTGGTAAGAGGCACTCAGCTCGGTGGCAAACGAAACATGAAAAACCAACTCAGTTGATCATTTATATCATCAACATTGTTAATTCGGATTATGCTTTGGTCACGTAGTTTGCTGGTAAATATCGATCAACTAGATACCCAAGTTTGGAACTTGAATAAATTTAACAATACAAATTTAGAAAAGTTATTTATGCTTTATTGGGTAACAAATTACTAAGACATGCGAATTTTGAGGTAGGTGGATTATCCAAATTAATAAAGCCTCAATCTAAACAAAAAATCGCTGGATCCATGAAATTTTTTATTACGGCCACTCTTTTGTAACCTACAAAGCATTGTCTAGTGTTAGTCGGTGTATTCAAAGATAGCATATTTCATGATCATTTTGGTTGGAAAATGCTTACAACTGAATTACCATGTATTGTTCATTCAATGCTTTTAGAAAAGAACTATTGAACCAGAAACCTTTTCATCTTCGCAGACAGTTAGGACCGGATACTAACTTATCCTTCATACTAGTAGTGAATAGTGAACTGCTGAGAAGCAATTAGCTCGCAGCTGAGCCGTCCGTCAGAGCGTTCCAGTCGTCTAGTTTGAGAGTAGCTTACTGTTTTATCTTCTCCAACGACACTCCCACTAAATGTCGACTTATTTAACCTGTTTCCATGGTTAGTCTATATAGCTACTCTTTTTTCGTATTTCGTTTCGTTGCCATCATTTCTACCAGTTATTTGGTGGACTTTTAAGTTGCCTTCGTTTTCCACCGTACTCGCACCTTGTCTTGATGAGTCCTGAAGCTTTCTTTGGTTCAGTAGACTACTGAGATCCACTGATCTATCTTAGGTTGATCATGAGTATTATTACTTTTACAGCTACATCAAAATGGACATTCTCAACGCTCCACCGAGATTACTTAGTCGGTTATACATAAATGGGTTTTAAATCTTCGTGCTGGGCTCGAAAGGGTTGTCATGTAACTGTCCAATACCTAGTAACGACCAGATGTACGGGTGCTCAGATCAGATAGTGACCGAAATCTAGACGTGGTTGAGAATAGTCTGGGTTTTTATACCTGGCCGTCACACTGATAGTGATACAGTTTATACGTTTTCCATCAGTGTCAGAGCTGCTAAATCAATTAGTGTTTTTTACGATTGAATCTGGTACTCACTGGAAATCGCCGTTCATTTCAGGGAGACGGCCGTCATCTGATTGTTGAACTAGAATTTAAATACCTCGACCTAGGTATTAGTTTCCTTGGCTTCGCCTACCTACTTAGCAATAAAAATCGCTAACTGACTATATTTGAGCCCCTGGTTTTTAGAAAAGGGTTTGTAGCGGTCAATAAATCCTCAGAATAAATAGCTCTGCGAGTCTTCAATACAGATTCTGACATGGTTAGTTTTACTGGACACATCCTTGTCGAAGACGTTCATCCTGACCAGATCACGAGTGGGTACACCACACTACGCATCTCTTGCATCTACTAGCCAACTTAGATCAGACGATTCTCAACACATCGATAACCTTCTACACATATATTCGAACTCATTTACTCCTGACTTCTGTTTTGACTAGGTTGGTAGCCTTTGATTAAAAAGGTTACAGACGATGGCGATATCAAACCTTGAATGTCTGTGGCATATTTATGTTCTACTATCGGCTTGACTATAACTAGTAAGAGCTAACAGGTGGTGATACGTGATTTTGTGCTTCCGAGTCCTTGCAGTACTTTGTCGGACAAAGCACAATGGGCTACCGGCTGAAACATCTGGTTAAGGACCGTTGGTTCAACTTTAGAGTGAAAATCTAAAGTTACACTCGCAAAGAATAAACGGGATTTTCAGCAAGCCTTCAGACTCCTGAACATTGAGCTACACTGATTTCCCGGACTTCTTACTATAAGGTAGGTAAGTGACGAGGCTTGGGTTTTGTAAGTCATAAAGAACTAGTTTACAAATATCCGGATGTATTTTCATATACTATCTGGTGACTTTATACACAGCAAACTTGAATCCCATGAGATGTTACTTAACGGAAGCACAAGAGATCCCCTGTATATGTGCCGTGACATAGTGTCATCTAGATGAACTGGTTAGCTTGCGAAATCATGTTGCCTGCGACTAAAAACCATGAGTCGATAAAGAATTCTGTAGTATTTGCACTGTCTGACGATTCTTATGTACTAAATTGCGTGCTTATCACGAATTCTAAGCGTAATACGATCAGTCGTACCCACCTAGTTCTACCTGTCCCAAACTGGAATATTCTGAGAATCCTCAGTTAATGAATTGATTAGTTTATAATTATCACTATTTCTTGAGGTTTAATCTAAGAAGCAAAGACATCTTAGTTTCCGCAGTCAATCAGCGTCTTTGGAATGCTGCGTTCCGTTTGGTAGGACCTTGTTGTCTGAACCCAATAATAAGATACTCAAATAAAACCCAGAAGCCTGAGATCTACATGATAGTTTGGGACTCGTTTTGTAGGTCTTTTCCAGGCAATGGACAATAAGAAGTTCCGTAACCTACTGTCCTCGAGTTAACTTCGTCAATGCCATCTCACCAGTTTCAGATGCTCATGATCTCACTATATCAGGTATTATGATGTATTTTTTTAGCCCATTTAGGCGGATGTCAATGCAATAATACTGTAGAACAGCAAAAACCTTCAAGCTTTTTAATTGCTTATTATTACGGTTAAAGAGAATCAAAGAAGCGACACCGATTTGTTCAAACCTCACGCTACACATCGGATATCCTGTGATGGAATGTCATGCAGAGGCTACAGCTAGAAACATGAAACTCAGTCTTCATAGTTACGACATCAAGTTAACGGTGTATGGACTGTAGCATCCAGTCTGCGCTCCTTGTCTATCTTTGACAGCACATATGGAATAGACATGATTGCGCTAATAAGCCAGTCATCTAGAGTCCCATCGTCCGCATCATAGGTATGATAGGATATATAAATTAACCCGTGATCACAGACGACGCTAGTTAGTGATTACTAATCAGGCTGATTTAGTCCTGAAACCTAATACTAAGGAGTCGAAAACCCCAGAATAAAACCTAGATATGCCTGAGGCATTAGACGCACAAAGTATTTATGAATACCCGATAAAAAAACAAAAGCTAGAGAACGGACATTGTATTAGCCAAGTTTACAATCAGATATCGAAATATGAAGTGTAACGTTAGTCACGTATAAGACATTTGACTTTTTGCATTAAAACATTAACAAGTTTAAAAAGAAAATGGAAAAATGCAAGCGACGAATGGGCCGAAATTCACTTTTCTATTATTGCGGAAATCTAGTCACATGGTCACATCAAATGTACACAACAGATTTTGCGAAACCAAGAAACATGTGAAGTAGGAAGAAAAAGGCCAATCGCCGTTGTCTCACAGCACTTTGAATGAAAATGCAAAAGACTTATTAATTCTTGCCACTTGAATGTTTACCGATTGGAATAGTTTTCTTCACAGAATGTTTTTACTGTTTTCTCGACTTGTTGAAGATATCATACTGATTAATCTGCAGCGTTCTTAACCTTCAAACTTTATTTTCAAACTTGTTTGTCAAAACGGCAAATTATTTGTTGAATATGATCTGCGTTTTAATTGTTGTGTGAAGTTCTTTATCATGTGGTGATGTAAATGTTTATGCTTCTGCTGAACACGGGGCCTACGACAAGTCAGAGATTATCGGTCGTTGTGGTCGTGTAAGAACACTCACTATAACCCTTTTGAGTATCTATCTAATCGTCTGTGAATCATAAATAATTCAGAGGATTCCATATTTTTCACCTCCGGTAAAGTTTCGCAGTTACTTGATTCTAATACCTTTATAGCTTACAAGGATTCCTGTTCGGGCTCCTTCATGTTTTATCGTAACTGGGTGTTTTTCGATGTATAGTTTGGTGCAAACATGAATTTTTAATCTGTTAAGCTAAAGGAGGTTATTAGTGATTTGACAAGTCAAGAGCGTATTTCCCTAATCCTTATGTACTGAACAGGATTCAGATGCAGATGTTTCTTGGACTCAAAGTTGGGTTATCGTTCTAGTGCGAGATTTTCCATTGATTTTCTCTGAACAGCCTTCAAGAGATCACGTAAGAAAATATGATGCTGAGGTTCTTTTCGAATAAGTTCTTTCGCAAGCACAGGAGACTGTTTTAACTAATTTTGGAATCAAGCTGCCTAATCAAGAAAAGGCATGATTAGGATGACCTGAAGTGATTATTTGTATTATATCAATAGATGAGCTTGGGAAGGATATCCTTAAGATTCTATGATTAGTTCGTGTCAGTCGGATGATGTTTGTTTAGCCGAGATATTCATTCATGGTCTCCCTTTTCAATGAAATAATAAGCTCTGTAGAATTTCCCCAGAGAGCAATTACAATCGAGTGTATGCCGTACAATTACTTTCTAATCTCATGAGGTTTGATTGTAACCGCTACACACTACGATATAAGCAATCAATGCAAAAGTGTCGCAAGCTCCGCAAGACTAGAGTTTAGATAGGTTTTGATAAATTTCCTTGAGTTTTTAAGAATTACGAGCCCCGTTCGGCCTGCCTGAGTTGCTATACTTACACTTGGGATATCAGAAGTATGTGAGTAGAAGCCTTGGTCAATTGTAATTTGTCGGGGAAATTCGTTTCAGGATTGTAATCAGTTGAAAGGCTGGTTTTACGTTTCATTTATGAATCCGAATTCCTCTTACGTGGGTATAAAGGTTATTATATCAGGATTCGAGGATTGCCATTACCATGCCAGGGAGTTCTGAGTTGCTTAGAGAACTCAAATATAGGCAGGGAGACGACTTATGTGTCTGATGAGTCTTGCAACAGATAGCGAGTATACTAACAAGAGTGTGTCTGTCTGGTATGTATATAATATGAAAACTAAACACTCAGCTACCCATGTGTATTTTCAAGGGCCACATGAACTGGCACTGAATATTTTGTGCCTCATTCAAGCAAGACATTGTGCTTATAAAATGAATCATGAAATAACTGTGGGTAATTTGGTTTCACTCTGATGATAGAAAGTTTATAGTTATGTAGATGGTAAGCGCAATGTAGCATCAACTCCAACCAATACTGTTTGCAGACAGTTGTTTCGCGAACCTTTTGGACGGAAAATTATTCAGGACAAGATGATTAATTATACATTATCTTGAGGGCATGTTTAATAATTTGGATACTTCACTCCACTATGATAATATCTAGTCTTCCAAAGAGTAGAGTTGCATACTTTGGACAAAATAAAGGGACTCAAGCTTACACTAATATTTCGAATGATAGGTGGGATAGCATGGATCAAGAAATCAGTTTTGTAACTACATTCACTTGAAAATTATGGTTCAGGGTTGCGCATTAACTTTGAGGTTGTTTCATCGGTTAAAGTAATAAAATTTCTCCTATTGAAACATTTATAATTGAATAATTATGAGGATATTAAGATTTTGCCAACCACCATTTTGTTATTTGAAATAACTTTGTTAGACTACTTTGTTTGGCTGGTACTTCCATACAAAAAGTAGTGTGGCTATTTCAATCCCCAGTGACGTAAGGCGCTTAGGTCATAACACACTAGAAATCATCTTCAGTTAATATGGGTGGAATTTTTTCAAATTTGTTCAGTCGTCTGTTCGGCAAGAAAGAAGTTCGTATCCTGATGGTTGGTCTAGATGCTGCTGGCAAAACAACAATATTGTACAGGTTAAAACTTGGGGAAGTTGTTACAACTATTCCTACAATTGGATTCAATGTTGAAACAGTGGAATATAGAAACATTAGTTTTACGGTGTGGGATGTCGGTGGTCAAGATAAAATACGTCCTTTATGGAGACATTATTTCCAAAACACTCAAGGTAAAACTATTAAAGTTGGGGCTTACATTCCATAGGTTTAATATTCGTGGTTGACAGTAATGACACTGATCGCATTGGGGAAGCAAAGGACGAGTTTGTTCCGTATGTTACAAGAGGACGAGTTACGAGATACACTTCTTTTGGTCTTTGCAAACAAACAGGTACGGTTTACATTCTCAAAAATTATAGTAATTTTTAGGATCTACCAAATGCTTTAAAGCCTACTGAGCTAACAGATAAATTAGGACTACATCAATTACGGAACCGCACATGGTATATTCAAGGAACATGTGCCACAAACAGTTCTGGTTTATTTGAGGGTTTGGATTGGCTCTGTCAAAATTTAGGCGGCAAGAATTAATAAGTCTTTTGCATTTTCATTCAAAGTGCTGTGAGACAACGGCGATTGGCCTTTTTCTTCCTACTTCACATGTTTCTTGGTTTCGCAAAATCTGTTGTGTACATTTGATGTGACCATGTGACTAGATTTCCGCAATAATAGAAAAGTGAATTTCGGCCCATTCGTCGCTTGCATTTTTCCATTTTCTTTTTAAACTTGTTAATGTTTTAATGCAAAAAGTCAAATGTCTTATACGTGACTAACGTTACACTTCATATTTCGATATCTGATTGTAAACTTGGCTAATACAATGTCCGTTCTCTAGCTTTTGTTTTTTTATCGGGTATTCATAAATACTTTGTGCGTCTAATGCCTCAGGCATATCTAGGTTTTATTCTGGGGTTTTCGACTCCTTAGTATTAGGTTTCAGGACTAAATCAGCCTGATTAGTAATCACTAACTAGCGTCGTCTGTGATCACGGGTTAATTTATATATCCTATCATACCTATGATGCGGACGATGGGACTCTAGATGACTGGCTTATTAGCGCAATCATGTCTATTCCATATGTGCTGTCAAAGATAGACAAGGAGCGCAGACTGGATGCTACAGTCCATACACCGTTAACTTGATGTCGTAACTATGAAGACTGAGTTTCATGTTTCTAGCTGTAGCCTCTGCATGACATTCCATCACAGGATATCCGATGTGTAGCGTGAGGTTTGAACAAATCGGTGTCGCTTCTTTGATTCTCTTTAACCGTAATAATAAGCAATTAAAAAGCTTGAAGGTTTTTGCTGTTCTACAGTATTATTGCATTGACATCCGCCTAAATGGGCTAAAAAAATACATCATAATACCTGATATAGTGAGATCATGAGCATCTGAAACTGGTGAGATGGCATTGACGAAGTTAACTCGAGGACAGTAGGTTACGGAACTTCTTATTGTCCATTGCCTGGAAAAGACCTACAAAACGAGTCCCAAACTATCATGTAGATCTCAGGCTTCTGGGTTTTATTTGAGTATCTTATTATTGGGTTCAGACAACAAGGTCCTACCAAACGGAACGCAGCATTCCAAAGACGCTGATTGACTGCGGAAACTAAGATGTCTTTGCTTCTTAGATTAAACCTCAAGAAATAGTGATAATTATAAACTAATCAATTCATTAACTGAGGATTCTCAGAATATTCCAGTTTGGGACAGGTAGAACTAGGTGGGTACGACTGATCGTATTACGCTTAGAATTCGTGATAAGCACGCAATTTAGTACATAAGAATCGTCAGACAGTGCAAATACTACAGAATTCTTTATCGACTCATGGTTTTTAGTCGCAGGCAACATGATTTCGCAAGCTAACCAGTTCATCTAGATGACACTATGTCACGGCACATATACAGGGGATCTCTTGTGCTTCCGTTAAGTAACATCTCATGGGATTCAAGTTTGCTGTGTATAAAGTCACCAGATAGTATATGAAAATACATCCGGATATTTGTAAACTAGTTCTTTATGACTTACAAAACCCAAGCCTCGTCACTTACCTACCTTATAGTAAGAAGTCCGGGAAATCAGTGTAGCTCAATGTTCAGGAGTCTGAAGGCTTGCTGAAAATCCCGTTTATTCTTTGCGAGTGTAACTTTAGATTTTCACTCTAAAGTTGAACCAACGGTCCTTAACCAGATGTTTCAGCCGGTAGCCCATTGTGCTTTGTCCGACAAAGTACTGCAAGGACTCGGAAGCACAAAATCACGTATCACCACCTGTTAGCTCTTACTAGTTATAGTCAAGCCGATAGTAGAACATAAATATGCCACAGACATTCAAGGTTTGATATCGCCATCGTCTGTAACCTTTTTAATCAAAGGCTACCAACCTAGTCAAAACAGAAGTCAGGAGTAAATGAGTTCGAATATATGTGTAGAAGGTTATCGATGTGTTGAGAATCGTTTGATCTAAGTTGGCTAGTAGATGCAAGAGATGCGTAGTGTGGTGTACCCACTCGTGATCTGGTCAGGATGAACGTCTTCGACAAGGATGTGTCCAGTAAAACTAACCATGTCAGAATCTGTATTGAAGACTCGCAGAGCTATTTATTCTGAGGATTTATTGACCGCTACAAACCCTTTTCTAAAAACCAGGGGCTCAAATATAGTCAGTTAGCGATTTTTATTGCTAAGTAGGTAGGCGAAACCAAGGAAACTAATACCTAGGTCGAGGTATTTAAATTCTAGTTCAACAATCAGATGACGGCCGTCTCCCTGAAATGAACGGCGATTTCCAGTGAGTACCAGATTCAATCGTAAAAAACACTAATTGATTTAGCAGCTCTGACACTGATGGAAAACGTATAAACTGTATCACTATCAGTGTGACGGCCAGGTATAAAAACCCAGACTATTCTCAACCACGTCTAGATTTCGGTCACTATCTGATCTGAGCACCCGTACATCTGGTCGTTACTAGGTATTGGACAGTTACATGACAACCCTTTCGAGCCCAGCACGAAGATTTAAAACCCATTGATGTATAACCGACTAAGTAATCTCGGTGGAGCGTTGAGAATGTCCATTTTGATGTAGCTGTAAAAGTAATAATACTCATGATCAACCTAAGATAGATCAGTGGATCTCAGTAGTCTACTGAACCAAAGAAAGCTTCAGGACTCATCAAGACAAGGTGCGAGTACGGTGGAAAACGAAGGCAACTTAAAAGTCCACCAAATAACTGGTAGAAATGATGGCAACGAAACGAAATACGAAAAAAGAGTAGCTATATAGACTAACCATGGAAACAGGTTAAATAAGTCGACATTTAGTGGGAGTGTCGTTGGAGAAGATAAAACAGTAAGCTACTCTCAAACTAGACGACTGGAACGCTCTGACGGACGGCTCAGCTGCGAGCTAATTGCTTCTCAGCAGTTCACTATTCACTACTAGTATGAAGGATAAGTTAGTATCCGGTCCTAACTGTCTGCGAAGATGAAAAGGTTTCTGGTTCAATAGTTCTTTTCTAAAAGCATTGAATGAACAATACATGGTAATTCAGTTGTAAGCATTTTTCAACCAAAATGATCATGAAATATGCTATCTTTGAATACACCGACTAACACTAGACAATGCTTTGTAGGTTACAAAAGAGTGGCCGTAATAAAAAATTTCATGGATCCAGCGATTTTTTGTTTAGATTGAGGCTTTATTAATTTGGATAATCCACCTACCTCAAAATTCGCATGTCTTAGTAATTTGTTACCCAATAAAGCATAAATAACTTTTCTAAATTTGTATTGTTAAATTTATTCAAGTTCCAAACTTGGGTATCTAGTTGATCGATATTTACCAGCAAACTACGTGACCAAAGCATAATCCGAATTAACAATGTTGATGATATAAATGATCAACTGAGTTGGTTTTTCATGTTTCGTTTGCCACCGAGCTGAGTGCCTCTTACCAAAGGAAGAATGATATGACTAGTTCTCGGTCTAAACATGAAAACCGAGAGTGCTTCTTAAGTCTTAAACACAAACTAACTTTTGGGAATGTAATATCAGGGCTATTCACGACGGAATAAAAGCTGTGTTGCAGATGGTAGATTTAATAATTAAAACTCACAAATGAATTTGAGTTTTTAAAACTAATAATTCATTTTAAAAAGATATGCAACCAAGAACTTCAAGATGCCAGTACTAATTCTTCTAACGCCTACAGATGACAAGTTTATGAGATTCAGTTTGTATCTAGCGCTTAGTAGGATTTCTCCTGTCCAATGTCCTAGTGAAGATGTGATGCAAAAATTCAGTAGCTACATTTGAAAGCCTCCAATAATAAACAGCTCAACTGTATGGTTCGTTAACACTGTTCGTTCTGTTTCATAACCATTTAGCGACCAAATAATGCATCTACCTCTATTCTATAGGATATTATTTGGGGCCCGAATATCTCAATTGTAACACCCTAACTGAATTCATCAGGCTACAGAACCAAATGAAAGGGTAGTAATAAGTCATTAGAAGGCTTTATGCATAAGATTTATGCGTAATATTTGTAGTAAGTTAACATTGTGTCATAACATGGCATAAGTTATTCAAAACAGACAAAGAACGATTAATGCGATTGATAAGCGGCGTAGGGCAAAATGCGATGCCTTTGTATTGATTCAAGGTTTTGAGACTTTTCGAAATTTGACTTAACATGTTTATAAGCGATTGTAATGGCCAAGAATGTATTATTACTGCACTTCTAACGAACTGATTTGGATTGCAAATAAGCTCATCATCAGTGCTCAATCTTCTCAAGTAGTGAACTAAGTAAGATAAACAGGTAGTTTCAGGAGATACCAACCAGTCAATGAATAAATAAGACGAAAAGCCGACAGATTTCGCCAAATAAGCAAACAACCAATGGGCATTGGGAACAGCATGGAGAGTCGTTTGCTGATATAACCTAAGAAATGGAAAGAAGGATAAAAAGAATGAAATTGAACTTTCAGAATAGCAAGATTTAATGTTTTTATTGTAGTTATTTTTTAAATGGCGATATATTATATATTACACTTACCATGGAGACAAGCAAAATAATATTGTGAAGTTTTATCTGTGCATTCTCGATGAATAAGTAATTTCAGTGCAATGAATATCTAAAGTAAACACATTTACCTCCTGACTACTCTATTTATACATTATGTAACAACGATCACATTTCTTACAAAACTTATTGATTATTATATTATAAACATATCAGTCAAAAACGAAACAAGCAACACGATATGTTTTGATATACGATCAGTAAATATTATAAAACAATTTGGATATTTTCTTCCACTCGCCAATATATGATTTTATTCAGACTAGATTATCTGGTCAGCCTGAGTTATCACAACAATTTTGCACAAACAATATGTTGAACTTATTAACTCTCCTTCATACCTAACGGTAATTAAAACTACTAAACTCTTTTCAACAGAACTTCAAGATCGTAGTTGTTAAGAGAAAATTTAAAAGGCTAAATATTGTAGATAGAATATAACAGCGAGCATAAAGTGAGGAAAAGGGAAAGAGTAAATAGAAAGAATAAATATTTAGTTTAGATTAGTTATCCATCATTGGTTCAACAATCATACATTCTGGCAATAATGTCAGATGATTAACTGCATAATAAAGCAGTTAATTCTTCGGTATACAATAAACACTCATTTCCAATACAACGGCGAATATTATAGACAATCAGATGGTACAAATATGAGGAGTGGTTCTTGCAAAATTGTAGAATGAACTCCTTATGGACGTGAATAAACTGCTAACACTTTACTGTTTCTATATTGATGATGCTTTTATATTGGTAAAAAACGAAGTCGAAAAAGGTAATTAGTTTAACATGGTTGACAATATTTTTCCACAAATTAAGTTCTTTTTAGGCGAAGAGCCAAATAATAGAATCTCACTTTTTCTAAATCCTATCGACAAGAAGATTCGATAGAACATTATAAATATGTCAAGTGAACAATATACCCATTTCTACAGTTCTGCATCACTTAAGTACAAATGAAACTTAATGAATATCTTGACTCATTGTACTAAATTGATTTGCTCTGACACCAGTGAAGAAGAATTAAGAAGTATCCGTAACCTACTTAGCAGTAATAGATATTCTACCAAATTCATCGACAAACACATTAACTAGATACAAGTAAGACCGACTACAATGGCTGTCCCAAAGAAGTCATTAATTTTGAAACCACAGTTCAAAAAAGATGTTGCTTGTGACATGATAGCACAACCGTTGATACAGACATTAAATAAGTCGTTAACTGCAGCCAAGTAAAATATTGTATTTTAAAATGGTCCTGGAACAAAGAAAAACCTTCTGAATTCGTTATATCTGATTGCATTTATTCGTTTGACGGTTCATGTGGAGCCATTTACATAGACGACAGACTTAAGCAATTCCGTCAACTATACGTTACTATGCTGTATGGTTGAGTAAAGGGTAACTAGGGACGAACCTAGTGAAGTTTCATACAATAAGCTGAGAGCCATATATGTGGAAATGATACAACACGAGTACACGAACATGGGTTCTAATCCGTTATCCAGTGCCAGTCAGTTGAGTGTACAAACTACTGAGCTACGGTCCAGAGCGATTAAATGTAGTTCCTGAAAAAGATGTGTCGATAACATCACGAATTAGTTTTTAGTTAGTTACACCACTACGACAGTCCATTCTGTGGTCATGTCATATACGCATCAAATGTAATTTGATAAAAAAAACCTGGAGAATTAAAAAAAACACTAATCTTACTCTGTAGATTTGATATGGTCCTCAATCTGTATCCATAGGTCCAATACTCGGAAAAGTTGTGCATCATCCTCGGAAAATAAGATAATTATTGAATTTTCATAGCTATGTACCATATTTGATTCACCCAACTCAATATCCATTAATAATTCATGAATAGAGCTTAATATTGACCAAAGTTGTAGATCATTAGAATCTAAAATTAGATGAGAGTGCTATTTTATGTAACGACCAGAATTACTAATGTATTCCGCCACAATACATATCTTTGTGTCTATTGGAAAAGTTCTACGACGCAAAGCATATTGCCAAGAATAATTACAATAGTAGTGGTTAGCAAACACTTTAACATAATTCATGAAGAAAAAAGTAATTTCATGCCTCACTTCATGTTTTAAAACCACTATATATGGTGTAGTTTTACTAATTATATGAAGAGCTTTCAAACCTATATACCTGATAGGGAAAATGACAGTTCACTTGAAATGAAGAATTGTTTCAACGAGAAAAATATTTAGACACGATTAGTCAGTCTTTAACAGTACAGTAAATTAGTCAAAAGTTGTTTGCCAAATAAACAAAACATAGAATAATCAGCGTATTGACAAATAAAGAAATAAACCTAATCGATATTGTTAATTGCGTAATTATTGCTATTCAACCAAGAGAGTAAGAAGTGTCCATAATGGAATAGATAAAATCGAGATAGTAAGAAACTTCAGGTACTTCAATTTAATAACTTCTAAGAACTCAACAAGCGGATGTAAAAACATGAAACCGTACAAGTTTTACTAACCGAGAATTTCTTAAAATCCAACTACGCATTATCGAGTACAAACGTAACTTATCAGGTTTCAAGTGGTGTTTGTTCTCATCGATTCTATCATACGTTCAGTGTATGTGTGGTTGAAAGGTGATTCTGACTTGAAAGTTTTTGACTACTTTTGTCTGAGAACTATACTGCTAGTGTTCCAAGCTGAGTTGCTCACTAGTTAGGTAGCAAGAAAAAGACTTGTTAATGAGTATTATGGACAGTGTGATGTATTCGTGTTAAGACTCGTCAGAAAACAAACTGATTATTTTATTTATACTGAATAGAGCAAAATACTTCAAAGTTCTGCATATTAACTTGACTAAGTGAGTAGTATTTGTTAGGAAGCAGCAGAAACGTTCGTAAGAAATGTTATTTATCTGATAGAAACTATGAAGCCACCTTAGCCCACACTGAGAATGTTAAGTAAAAGACTTAAGCTAGATGTTAGTAACCAAAGTAATTAATGGAGAGAGGAAATAACTGTCAAAATTTTGATCTACATGAATATCCATAGTTACATATGTTATAACCCAATGCAATATAGTATAGAAGGGGAGTTGATTATCATCTTAAATCAATAAACTTACCTAATTTCAAAGCACTTTCGAGACCACACAGAATAATAATGCGCAGAGATAAACAAGTATCTGGTTCAAGCAAAGATACTTCATCAGATTTAATCTTTTGAGCTTTTATAGTACGCACTATATGAGTAACCAGACAATCACAAAAAGTGTTGGAATCAGAGATTTCTATTTTAGACCTTCGTGAACGGGAGTATGAACACAGTAATTCGTATATAAGTTTGTTCACTATAGGATGTAGATTATTGACCCATAAATGATCGGATTTATACACAAGTTTATACAGCGTGCGCAAACTGCGTATGAAAAAGACTGGCCAAATCGATGAAGAAACATCCACGAGGAATTTTGAATATTTTGTGAAGTATTCAATTAAGCAAACATGTAAAACATCAACTAAAACCTAGTAGATCATAAAAAATTAATTGGTATCTGCACCAAACGAGATGAATAAAGCGACAAAATAAAACTTATAGCACAGAATTATTCTAAGTAACAACACATCCACTTACAAAGACAAAACTATTCCAGTTTTAACTGATTTTGTTCCCTCATATAAATAACTAGCTATGAGATAAAATAATTTGCGCTTCATACATAATTTTAGTTTAAGCGATGATGTGATATCGTTAGCAATCACATAGGTGTGAATTGTAAAATAATACATTAACAGTAACGGGATAACCCTAAATACTAATTGAAATAATGAAGGATGAAGTACATACTCTGTAAGATGTGGTTATCAAAATTTATCACTCTTCTATTGACGCCATAGTCGAATTAACCCCAAAACGGAGTGAAGTGAAGTTGATGCTGAGTGCTCACAATCCAGTAGTGAGACTGCCTGTTAACAAGAATAATACTTGAATTGTTTCTCGATAATCACATGACACTCTGTTCACAGACTATATCAACACTATTCATTCATAATAAGTAATTATTAAACTATCTGAGTGCTGTAACGGGTGTGGACTGCAGGTTTTGATAAGCAGTGTTTTATCGATCGATCACAGTAACACGGAAAACACGTACGGACGACCTAGAGCCCTGATTGGTCCCGCTTCGCAGTCTGTCCCAGCCAGTTGAGTCCAGAACACAAGTCACAGCCTCTGAGTTATGAATCATTATATTTCAAACGCACTCTGTTTATATACTAATCAAGCAGACCACAACGTACGATAAAATGGGAAATAACATTGTACGATATTTAACGAATGAATTAAATAATAGCCAATAGGGAATGTACATTTGAAGTCCAAGGCCACCATAGACTTAACACGATAATTATTGGTACATTCCTCTGCATACCTAACACTGAGAAATTTGTAGAAAATATAAAGTTACTTTTTAAATTTGGATAATTTTAACTTGCTTTCTGAAGTGATTATCAACTATAAATAACACTGTTCTACATGATAGTAGAATTTGATGTTAATCAGATTATTTACCATACTTTTCACTGTTCAACGCTCCTAAACTCTGTGTAATTTCATATACTACGCATTGAACCAGAATTTTAAATTATATAGTCTTTCAGACAGCGATTTGATATTTGGAAAATAATTACACAAGTTATTAAGAGTTACATGTGATAAAAATCGATAAAATCATGAAAGTGAACTTAGCCCTCATTCCCAACTCAACTCAAATATTTTTAAAATGCATAATGTAATGATAACAAAGATACAAGAACTACCACCACATATATAACTATGAGTTATTGAAATGCAAAAATATGTATGAAAAAGTTTCTGAATTGTGACCTGGAAATAAATTTGAACGTGTATAAATAATGCTTGGTTTAAATATCTTATTCTGAAGTGGTACTATTTCTGACCACATCTTTTACCTTAAACTGACAGTTTGTAGAACTATACAGAAACGAAGATTAAATAAAGTCATTACTGGAAACATGAGATGATACGTATTATAAATCTAATTATTCTTTATGTTTGAAGCATATTCTGTTTTTACACTGAACTTATGCCAACAATCTTCAATCCATACTTAATGCCAAAAAGGTGTGAAAATATGGTACTTTCAAACCATATTCTTTTTCCCTATTATAGGTCCAATTATAGATATATATGTAATATTTCTTCATTTTCCTACAAAACATATTGATCGGCAAATGCATAATCAAATTGTTCTAAATGTGTATTGGATAAACAAATTATTCTGTGTAGATCAACTTAGACCTTTCATTACAATACCCATATTTTCATAGCAGGTAACACAGAAACACAGGATATTCGTATATATTTTAGGCATTCAACTGGGAATACTTGGAAATAATTATCATAACTGGATAACAAGTAGATACCGATTTGTAGTAGATTATTGGTGGAATCGTTGGTATTAGAGGATATAATTACAATTAATGAAGATGAGATACTCCCTCTGGATTGAAAAAAGTTGCTTTCCATATATCTGACAGTCAATAGGGGAGAAAAACCTTGGAAACAGGCTAACAAAACTTGCAACTATTGATAATTTAGATCCGATTTGCAAGCAATTTTTGTTACTATTTATATCTTTCATAATTTCACTTAAATTGTACGATTGTGGTTATTGACTAAAAAACATTAAGTTGTCACGCAAAACTCCTGATTAATGTATTGATTGGTCCCCACTCAATATACTTGTCGTTTTACATACTCTTGTTCTTTCTCGATAACCGTTGTCACATAGTCAGGTTTATAACATACCTGTTGCTTGCATTTTAATCAGTGCTTAAATCATTAGTTTGACCAATTATATATTATCATAATCAAGTGTACCCATTGTCATGTATCTACTAATTTTACTCTATAATTGCGGAATCGACTACTAGACCTTTGTAAACACGCAACAATGCATTTATCAACAAGTAACTCTTTGTGCAATCTGTTTATATTTACTTACTGTATTAACGGATTTTGCGTACAATCATTTACATAAAATTATTGTTATTTGTGTGCTTGTAGATTTATCTAATTTATATAAGTTGAACATATTTTTCGGTTACACTCACATTTACATATATATTTATTTATTATTTGCTGATATTGTCACCTGTAAATCGGTAACTCCAAACGCCTATTATATAAACATTAAAAGTAAGTCACTCTATCGAGCTACATAAATGTAATGATCAATTTAATGAGAGTCGATTCAATATCAGAAATTAGACACCCTACTCAAGGTCTCAATAGAGAAAGAATATAGTTCGCTCAGGTTGATGCACTCCTTCTTGTAAATTGTTTACGTCTTTAAGGCAAAGACTATCCATACGTGGTTGGTCTGCCTCCTATAGAGATAGTCGATGGGGTTCGGGACCCAACTGATCAGGTAGCTGAAGAAAAATTGTACTGCGAAGTAAAAACAGCAGCAACTCAACGTAATACGGCTTCTGATGAGAAGAAACTACATCAGTTACTAACGGCTTGAGATCTAGTTGAAAGGCGACTGTCACAACCGTTGAAATACATGATGCAACAAATGGAGACGTATAAATTAGATGAATAGGTCTCTAAACAGATGCAGCTACAGAAGTTACCCTACAATATATGACATATTGAGAGTTTCATTGCAAGCCCTAAGCTTAGGTGACCAAGCACGCATGGCCGATAAGATGAAGGAAGTACGTCCGGACGCCAGTAGTATTAACACATTACAATCAACTGCATTGGCCAAGAGTGTCGATAGAGTAGCAGAACCCCTCCAGTAACAACTAGGTGATTTGATATCGAAATTGGCCTCCTTCCAAGGCATGACATCTACTCTTTACAAAAGGTGTACACGGTCCTTTTCACATGAAATGGAATTTAGAGGAGTACGCCTACACACCAAGTTAACAAACAGATGCGTTGATATTGTCTGAAGTACGGCGATAAAGCAAACATATGCACTACGTAATGCTGATTTTCATTCGACAGAGTCAACACTTTTGAAAACTTGTCAGCCAGTCAGTGATGCATTTAAATACTCTTGGCCATCTAGCAAGCCTCTTGTTCTACGTTGTGAACAGACTTTCGGGCAACAGATTCCCTATAGACACAAAGGACGAAGTCCGTATTATCCTGCAAAAATTGTTGGTGAGAGTTACTCATTTGATCAGTGACATCGTACTTCAGGCGGTAAACAAGACATAAACCTGTAAGTCTGGTAAACAATTGCTGATTTTAGACCTTGGGTTGCGTCACTGGTTTTCTTAGGTATTTATTATGACCGAGGTCAAAGAAGTACCCTAAATCCCCCGGTGCTATAAGAATCTCACGATATGTTCTTACTAATATATTTTACAACTTTAATAGCAGCTTAATGTGGACAAATGAAAGCTTTTCAAAGGAGAGAATGGCGATTAATAAAATTTGATAAACTAAAACCGAGTAGTCGTTTGTGATGCCCGGTATAAATATATCCGATCACGGCATATTTGAACAGTAAATTTGGGATTCATTATATTATTTGATAAGGTAACATACTGGTTTGTTAAAATATTGTAATAGTGAGGTTATAAACTTCGTGTTTTCTATAACTCCATAAACGAACTAAGAAAATGCAAGCGCACAATGAATAGCAACTAAAAAGAAAGTTTATGAACTGTTGTCATATAATTTAAGCCTTAAACTTTAAAATTATGTGATAAATAAACCATTTTGACAGAAACCATGTGAAAAATTAGATCTTTCATTGACTAATATTAATCTCTAATAAAATGAGAAATTATGAAACGACAGAATGATGCGGCACCTTAATGGTTAAAGCACCTGACCCTCAAGCAGCAGATACTACATCATAAAGCCTGGTATGGAATCACTAGTTTTTACTCTGAAAATGTGATTTTAGACTAAGTAGAAAAACTTTTAACAGGTTACCAAGATAGATAAATCCGATTATACTTATCATAATAAAACAAGTGGAGTGAAAGCTGTGTGCTCAGAGGTGCTTTGATTTTGTAAACCCACATGTTTCTTTAATTTCAATTTATTTTCATATATGCAACCCATTTTAAACTTGTAGTTTCAGTAGTTCAGCCCAATCTTACCATATATATTTTTTTACATCTTTGCTGAAGAATCTTCCACAAATTGTAAACTTTGGAAACAGTCAAAGGTTTAGATATATCTTTGATAATATCATTCAAATTTTAGTATAGTTAGGGTCTTTTCTCACCAATTAACGACTTTATGTTTTAGAATGATCACCTTAAAGTCCCACGGTGGTTGATGATCTAGCCACACGTACTAAGACGTGAAAAATTTGTAAGAGTTATGACCATTCAAAGCTGAGAGCATAATTAAATTGTCGTTGATTACCAAAACTTGTAGTTTTTTCTGTCACTATGAAAGTTTGTGAGTCAGATTAGAATTTCAAGTGACAATAGTGTTCCTTAGAAAAATACTTTGGGGCATAATCAAATCACTTACAGTAAATACACAATCATGTGTATTATCCATCTTTTTATCATCAACTGTCGTGCATGCTTTTAGAGCGGATCTCCAAAGACGAAAAACTTCAAAAAGAAAAACTTCTTGATCATTATTAGCTTTACCATTTTGGTCGACTATCTACAATAATGGAAAGATATATCTGATTAGAAAGTAACAGTCCCATGTTCACGAATAAACAAAATGGATTACTTTATTTTGTAAGGTGGGATTCATAATTTGAGTCGTCTTATGTGAAGTGTAAGAGATGGTCCATTTTGAGATGATGGAGAAGATTTGTAGCTCAGGTGGATGATTTCGATGGGTTTTTGTTCTCTGAGCTGGATGTTCTGATCGTGGAGCTTTCATCGTTCTTCTGAACGATTCAGAAGAACGATGAAAGCTCCACGATCAGAACATCCAGCTCAGAGAACAAAAACCCATCAACATGGTCCCTTTCATTTATAATGACTGACGGCATGCATTCGTTTTCAACTTTTATCATGTGTTTTAGTTATTTAAATTTTCCAAGCTATTTATTATGATAGCTGTAGTTCCAAAACGTTCAGCAATCATAGTTTTTGAGATAATTAATGAATATTAACAGCATCCATCTTTTTGTGGATTCAGATAGTCAGAACCAAAGTGTAATGTTTTGGCGAATTTAGTTTCAATTAATGATATAACGCCCATGCATAAGATATTGGAACAGCATTGCTATTTATGATACATTCCCTACAAGTTAGTTGAGCTTACAGACATAACATTATCATTATTAGCTTAATGTTTTAAGAACTTAAGTCTGAAGAATTAAGTAAAAGATACAAACAGCACTTTGCCTACTTGGGTCTGGATAGTCAAATATCTCTGAGAAACTGTGGCTCAAAGTCGAATACATGCACGAGTAATTCGCAACTGTGGCAGAAATAATCAAAATGCGTCATGAGGTAAGCCCTAACTTGTAATTCTAAAGACAAAAAGGAAAGAGGAAGATTCAACAACACATTGCGTCGAGAACTGGAAGCAGACATCAAAAGAATGAACAGCACTTGGCAACATCAGGAAAGGAGCTTAAGAAAGAGTTGGAGAATCCTGGTCGGCGTCCTATGTTCTACGAGATGTAACAAGCTACATCTGATTGGTAAAAGGTTATAAAACATATTTTAGCGCTACCTTTAAATTCTCATTTAGCTGTACTTCTACCTCAGTAGTGAAACTAGTATTAATTGAGATTCAAGTATAGTATCTGTCGGCACTAAAACCAAATAATCATGCACTAACTACTCTAGCCGAGTTAAATATACTTTTTAGATGAAATTCGGCAGCAAACTTTTACAAGGATTTCAAATATTAATTTGAAAATACCCTATATGTCATTGGATAAACAGTTTGGTGAAGTAATCTTTTTCAATAAGTTCATTCTTAGGGCTGTACAACCGTATATCAATAATAATAAACCAATACAGGGAGGAAAACCAATATTCTTATCATTCTGTTGATATTATTACATACACAGACCATTTTTATACCACTGTCATAAGTATACACCATCTTGTAGTTTTGGAAACTAAAGAGATTCCCTCACTAAAATTAAAATAAACAAAGGGAAGTCTGAATCGTACCTTATGAGAACGGATGAGATATATATTCGCCATCTTGTCAAAATGCTTCCAAGACAAGGGTAAAAACGACTGTTTAAAAGCAACTAGAGACTCAAAATGTACTATTTATTATTTTGATGGATATATCAACTTTATCCAGGGACATTTAAAACACTAGTGAAGATATAGGCAAAACTCAGATAGAGGTCTGGTAAAGGAGTATTTTGACAACATACCTTAAGTAAGAAAATGGGTTCATAAGTAAGATAAGTCGTAGCACTACGTATCTATTTTCGTTCATGTCGGTATAACAGAGAGATTAGTTTGACAGACATAGTGATATTATTTTTCGTAACAATTTACCAACCAACGATATGCCAAAGAAAGGAAAAAAATACGAAACACTTTAGAAACTACACAATAATGTATATGTTTGCACTTACGATATGCTCAACGAGTTTCATAATTATGCTTCCTAATTTGTTCCATAATTCGCTAAGATGATGAAGTAGTAGCACAGTTGATGAGTTGTCCTTTAGTATATCGGATATAAATTCAATGCAAATGCAGATTGGAAATGCCTTAGCAGTTTCAGAATCCTCTAAAGCTCTATCCAGAACGCAACCAATCTTAAAAAAGAATTGAGAGAAAAAAATCTGAAATATGATCTTATTTAAAATTACAGAGATATCCACTCACCTTAAGAGCGTTTTGTGCCAAACTGTTTTGCTCATCAGTTATTATATCCTTTTCGGATTCACTTTCGATACATTTATGCGAATTGAGTAATGCTTTGAAAAAATAGTAAGATATTATCCCGTCAGAATTTACGAGCGTAGCCTTAGATGACGTGATAAAACGGTCAAGTATCACACCGATTAGCTTGGAAAATTCATCTTCAGTAAATTTCGTTACAGTGTCTAAATGATTTTCATCATTAGATATGTTGCAAAATGTTTTGCATGCAGATCTAAAATCCTTCCAGTATTTCAGCACCTTCCAGGTAAAACTGTCACTATTAGGGGGACATGTGTCGCTCGGTGATGACTCATAAGACATGATGTAAACTCTTGGTCGTTCATATGTATATATATATTGGATGTTGAGACTGATGATATATAAACTATTAGTGAATCACTCGAAAAACAGTTTCCAACACGTTATTTGTCTTCGTAGAATCCCAAACTTTGAAGGGATATCATTTTAAGGCTGACAGAATATACTGTATTAGAATAATTTTCAGATCATTACCAACCAGGGAAATATCACTGCCAAATAAATAAACTGCTGACTTAGGCAAACGACATATAAACTAGCATATCAAACTTAAAGTACTAAATGCCCGAACTTAATGGCACGTTAAAAAGTTAAACCCTTCCAAGGTCGCCCGCCGGTTCGTTTCAACAACCTTGAACGGAATGACAAGAGACGGCCATTCCGTATTTCGACTACTGTTTGTTGAGTATCCGTTGGGTTATACGAATATCAGGTGCTTTTGTATTTAAGTGATCTTTTGCTGCAGCGAAACCACAAAATAATTGCGAAGAACATTGATTTGGCTCTCTCTGTCTTGTGCACACGTTGAGTCGATTGCTGATTCATAACTAATCAATCTCCCTATTTTGTGGACAATTTCGGTCGAGGGCATCCTGTTCTGTTTGCCTGGAAGCGAAAAGAACTGCGATCATATGTAACCTGTATCATGGATACTTCATCAAATTCCTGGATATTGCAGTCGATAGAAGATAGATGACATGCACACTGTAGCGGTAAATAAATCCCCAAAATAAAAAGCTCGTCAAATACAACTCCTGATCTCCTCGATTCTGTCTTTTGATTTCTCTTGGTGGGTACGAGTTATATTAGGTATTACTGGTAAAAGCGTTGTCAAACACTTAATACCTGTGCCATCTTCATTAGTGAGCCCGACGTGATCTGGTACACCAAATCGTAAACTGGGATTCTATATATTATTGCTTTATCTCAATTTATTATACATTGTGATATTTTTTCGTGCTTTTGGGAGATAAATATATTTCCCCCCCCGTTCATTATCGTACTTCATATTTCATGACTGTACAGACACCTAAAGTATTTAAGATTAAGACTGTGCCTACACCCTCGTTCCAACTCATGGCCTTCTGGCCCGACAATATCGAAGCCTGGTTCTGCTACGCAGAGGCCGACTTCCACGAGCACGGCGTGAACGACACACGTGCACAATTCCTCGCAGTATTCAAGGCACTACCGCGGGAATTCAACAGGTACGTAACACCTAGTATGTTTACTAGTGATGTTTCTGAACCGTACGAAAACTTAAAGCGTTCGATTCTTAAACGAGGAGACCCAACCGATCGACAAAGGTTAGATCAACTCTTTAATAACATCTGTCTGCAACACGGTTCTGCGACGGACATGTTGCAACGAATGAGGAGGTTATCGGCCAAAGAACTTTCGACGAAGGCCTATTCAACTTTTCTTGTCTAAACGTCCCAAACAGGTACAAGCGGTTCCAGTCTCGTTTCAGAACAACGCCTTAGACGAGCTGGCTGCATCTGCCGATCGTATCTTAGAGATTACGAAATCTTCTACTACCGAGTTATTTTCAGTCAAAGAAAAGCCTCAAACGACTCAGAATGATATAACCGAGTTATGTCATACATTCACGCGTTATCTTAATCTTCGTAACAACCGTAAGCGATCACACACCCCACATAGAAGCACTTCACGAAAGCGATATGTCTCTAGACCACGAGAGACGGATAATCCCGACTGGTGCTGGTATCATAACCAGTATGAAAAGTCTTCCAGAAATTGCAGAAAACCCTGCAATTATCCCAACTCAAGGCTGGCTGACTCGAAAAACAACTCGGGAAACTTCCAAGCCGGCACGCGTTAACGGCAACCGTAGCCGGCGAACATAGCCGCCTGTTATACGTCACAGATGTGACAACGAGAGTTCGTTACCTCGTCAAAACTGGATGAGGTGGCAGCGTTCTTCCAACAAATTCTAACGATCGGCTTCACGAATCAGCTTTAAACTTACAGGCGATAAACGGAAAACGTATCGCCACAAATGGCAAAAGGTACGTTTACCTTAACGTGGGTTTACGCAAACCCGTCCACTGAATCTTCGTTGTTGCAGATGTATCTATGCCAATCACTGGTATGGACCTTCTACAACATCATAATCTGATTATCGATACGCGCAAACGGAGGCTAGTAGACGGACAAAGAACCACATCTCAAACATCTGGATCTTGTTTTCGACCGACTACAAAAACATGGCATTACTTTAAACGTTCAAAAATGCCAAATCGGAGCTGACTCATTAGACTTCCTAGGACACACTGTCGATGCTCAAGGCTTTCGACCTCTTAGAACCAAAGTGGCGGCCATTCTGGATTACCCAGAGCCGACCACGATCAAGCAGTTACGAACGTTTAACGGCCTTGTAAGTTTCTATAGACGATTCATACCGAAATGCGCGTCACTCATGAAACCTCTTACCGACCAACTTCGTGGAAATGCGAAATCCATCACTTTGGATGACACCGCAAGAAAAGCATTCTCCACAATTAAGGAACTTATCGCTAAAGCAACAATGCTTGCACATCAGGACACTCAAGCACCCATTAGTATCGCAGTAGACACATCCAACTCAGCAATCGGAGGAGTCTTACAACAATGGGTTAACAACTACTGGCTACCTTTGGCATTTTTCTCTAGACGGTTGCTAGACACTGAATCGAGGTACAGCACATTCGGTAGGGAACTCCTAGCTATGTTTTGTGCTGTACGGCATTTTCAACACTACATCTAAGGCCGTGAATTCACCATTTTCACTGACCATAAACCACTCACCTTCTCTCTAAGCTCTCCTTCAGACAATTACTCACCTCTTGGGTCTCGACAACTGGACTACATTTCGCAGTTCACTTCAGACATCCAACACATTTCTGGAGCAAACAATGTAGTCGCAGACGCCTTATCTCGCATAACTTCCTTGAACAGTTTCCAAGGAATCGACCTTCTTAAACTCGCCCAGCTTCAAAAAAGAAGGTAGTGATCTTCAGCATGAGTTATCATCTACAACCCTCAAACTACGCATCAAAGAGATGGAGACAGGTAAGGAAACCTTACTGTGTGACACATCTACGGGTAGGAATCGCCCAATTGTGCCGAAACATTATCGACACAACGTCTTCAATACGTTGCACAAACTTTCTCATCCAGGTGTCCGTGCAACCATCAAGCTTATAGCAGAACGGTTTTGCTGGCCTGGAATGAATAGAGACGTGAGGGAGTGGGCACGCTCCTGTGTAAGCTGCCAAAAATCTAAGGTTGTCAGACACAATAAGTGTCCCTTAGGCTGATTTTAAGCACTCGATGCTCGTTTCGACCATGTTCATCTGGATTTTGGTAGGACCTTTACCAGATTCAAATGGATACTCTTATCTCTTGACCTGCGTCGACCGTTTCACTCGGTGGCCAGAAGCAGTACTTATCAAGGACATCACTGCTGAAACAGTGGCCCGCACCTTCGCCGAACGATGGGTAGCAAACTTCGGCTGCCCTTCAACCATCATTACAGACCGCGGACGTCAGTTCGAATCCGAAATTTTCCGTTGTCCGACCACACTATTAGGGACCACTCGCTTTCGAACGACGGCCTACCACCCACAAGCAAACGGGTTAGTAGAACGCTTTCGCTGGCAAATAAAAGCTTCATCATCAGCTGCAAACATTTCTCAGTGGACTGACGCTTTTGCACTCGTCTTACTAGGTATTCGCAATGCAGTGAAAGCTGACAATAGATACTCTACGGCTCAGCTCGTTTATGGAGTGACACTTCGACTTTCAGGAGAATTCGTGGATCCCTCATCCTCTTCAATGAACATAGATCTAACCTCCTACACGAACAGGCTTACAAACGCAATGCGTTCAGTTAAACCTGTTTCCACTCGACCTCAATCAACTGATTTTTTCGTTCAACCTGACTCACGATATAGTACACACGTCTCCGTACATCGAGACTCATACCAATGACCTCTCGAATCAGCATATGAATGACCCTTCGAAGTTGTTCAACGCAAACCGAAGTACTATATAATCAATAAGAACGGAACCAACGATTGCATCAGCAACAGTCGCCCTAAAGCAGCGTATTTAGTAGGAGATCCTATCTACGTCGATTTTCCTTCGGTACAATCGAACGACACGACTTTGACAATTATAATACCTCATTCGACAGCCAACACGCACGATGATACTTCGACAGTATCTGAAAATAAACTTAAAACAACGCGTTCTGGAAAAAGATCAAGATATCCAGAACATTTAAACGACTATTGCACGTAGGACACTAGTTAACATTTTGTCACATCTCGATTTTCCATGGTATAGTGTAGTACAAAAAAAATCAATTTTTATATGTTTATATTTATGTATTATTATTTGGCTAATATGTATATTAGAAAAAAATGTTTTTAAAAAATGGAAAAAACCATTTCGTAAAAATCGCTTTTACGTTATTTACACTTTTTCGCCCATTTTGTGTCTTAAAGCGCGTACGAGTTTATTTCGACATGCACTTACATATTCTCTTTTTCTTTTCCAGGACGACTGAAAAGACGATAAAAAGAACGACGAGGTTTACAAGGAACCAAAATTTTGATTGTACATTATTTTCTTACTATATTTTGTTTCATGGTCCCTCATAGTGAAGAAAGATGACCAGACGCTGCTAAACCTAGCAAGCTATCAGAAGAGTGTTTACCAGCGACGAACTCGTTGGGTTTAAACTTCTGGTTGGCTACGTCTTGGGGTCATCACTACCCCACTAGGGGGGAAGTGACCTGTAGCGATGAATAAATCTCAAAAATAAATAGCTCTGTAGGTTTTCAACATTGGATGCTGACCACATGTTTTTATGGACTCACCTAGCTCAAGGCGCTCGGTCATGCATCCGCACCAGATCACGAGTGGGAACGCCGTGCTCAACATCTACTGCAATCGCTAGTCAGACCAGATCAGACAATTCCGATATATTGGCAATCGTCAAATACAACTCCTGATCTCCTCGATTCTGTCTTTTGATTTCTCTTGGTGGGTACGAGTTATATTAGGTATTACTGGTAAAAGCGTTGTCAAACACTTAATACCTGTGCCATCTTCATTAGTGAGCCCGACGTGATCTGGTACACCAAATCGTAAACTGGGATTCTATATATTATTGCTTTATCTCAATTTATTATACATTGTGATATTTTTTCGTGCTTTTGGGAGATAAATATATTTCCCCCCCCGTTCATTATCGTACTTCATATTTCATGACTGTACAGACACCTAAAGTATTTAAGATTAAGACTGTGCCTACACCCTCGTTCCAACTCATGGCCT